TATTGACAATCATCCTTCAGTGTCATTGGCTCTAATTCCTCCCGTTAAGTCCCTTCTAGGGCCTCCCCCATCTGATGTTCCTCCAATTTTGAAAAATAAGGGTAAAATTTTTGATAATCATCATTTGGCTTCATTGGCTCCACCTCCTCCCGTTAAGTCCCTTCTAGGACCTCCCCCTTCTAATGATTCTCCAATCTTAGAAAATCAGGATAGAATTTCTGAAACTTCAAGGTCTTCTTCTCACTTGTTGTGCGTCAACTGTAAAGATTTTGGCCACGTTTCTTCCAAATGTATTAATCGAACCTTAGTCATGGAAGAACAAAAGAATGTAATAGATATGCCATTAGAAGATCTAGTCTATGAACCTAAATTTGAAGATTTTGATGACTTGGATGATAGTGAGGACACTTCTTTAGGTGGACTCCAGACTCTTCCCGAGACTTTAGATACTATACCCCTTGTTTCTGACAACTCTCGGTCACATGTTATATGTCATACCCTTGCACAACTCAAAGAGCTTGATGATTTCGCTGGCCACCCTTGGAGAATCCAATCGCCTGTGGTTAGCATTAAATCAACATTCCCCACTACTGACCAACTTCAAACTGATGGTCAAAATGAAGTCGTTAACCAAAGTCCTGGCAATTTATTCAAATCTCTAGTCCAGAAAAATCTTAGAAATTGGGACTTGATTCCCCCAACTGTTCAAATTGCGTATAACAATTCTGTAAATCGGTCTCTAGGTTTGAATCCATTTGAAACTGTTTATAGTTATAAGTCTAGGCGGCCGTTAGACCTTATTTCCATGTCCCCACATGCTAGTGTGTCGAAATCAGTTGAAGCATTTGTGCATCATCTTCATGACTTGCATATTAAGATTAATAAACAACTTCACGCAAGTAATGCATTATATAAACTTCAAACTGATTTGCATAAACAATATTTTCAATTTCATACTGGGGACTATGTTATATTGCAAGCCGGTAGTGCTGGTCCTTTTAAAGTTTTAAAGCATGTTGGTCCATACGCACATGTCATTAATTTTTCATCACATTTTGGCCACCACTCTACTTTACATATTGAAGACTTAGTTACTTACAAAGGCCTTTTTAATTTCCTTGATGATCCTTTTCTACTTCCTTATGTGGATCCCCAACCTAAAGATATTACCATTTTCACTCCAATAACATTGTCACAGCACACAAAGATGTAATTGATGCTATTTTAGATAAACAGGTTGTGTTGACCAATGAGGAAGATTTCGGGGATGAGTGGCATGAATTTTTACTATTGGGAGTTCAGTATCGGTATGTAATTACAAAGAAAGATCGTCCTCCTTGGTTGAATCATATCCTTGAGGATAAGCTACAACTATCCTTGTTATCATTTGTGGAGTTTCGGTATTTAGTTATCGAGAAAGATCGTCCCCCGTGGCATGACTTGGAGCCTTTCGCATCAGATTCAGTGCAACATTCTACTTTATCTACTCGACAGGGTCGAGTTTTTCTCCCACCCCGGGAGAGTTGATGCGGACATCCATTTATTATTTATTTTCTATTTGGACTATTAGTTATATTTTATTTGGACTATTGTTTATATTTTCGTTATTGGGCTTGTTTAGTGGGTTTGGCCCAAACCCTTCTCTTTAGGGTTTGTGTTCTGCTATTTATTTCTGTTTTGTTTCTCATTTGAGACAGTTGATGATGATTTAGTGTCTCGATGATGATTTAGAATTGAAGTATTTTTTGGTGGCTTGCAGCCGTTTTCTCCCTCCCCTCTCTTTCCCTGGTTTCTTTTCCTCTTCTCCCTTCTCTCTGTTTCTCCTCCACATTCCTTCCTCTTTCTTTATTATTCACCCTACATCAGAATCCGATAACTTCGAACCCCATTCTGTCAACTTAACAGTGCCGGAATCGTTAATAGATACTGGGAAGTCCTTCGCCTCCACTCTGAAACGATGATTGAATACCATACTACGTACATCCGCCAATTTTTTCCCCTGATTGTGTACAAGCTGTTCATCAAACGAAGGAACAGACAAATCAATTGATCTCGGAGCAGCAAGCTGCCACTGCAGGTTTTCCGGCGACGGCGCGTTGGCCACACGTGCCGGCAGACGCACAGCCGGAGCGGCGCGTGTGGGGGGCAGAACTCCTGCTGGGGTCGCCGGTCTCTGCTAAGGCCTCCGGTGAGGCGTTTCCTCGAAACGTGGCAAGATCTAGCGGAATCTTCTTGGCGGCGCTAGGGTTTCCAACAATGGCCGATGCTTGTGTGTGAAGGACGTGGTTGGAGGGGCTGATTTGTGGCGTGAGGCCGGTTATGTGGTGCCTACCGGACAGTTGGTCGCCAGTGCCGATAGGTATGGGTGTTGGCTGGGTTAATTTGGATTGTGGGGGGAGCTCCATCCGGTGTCAAGTTTTGTAAGTTTCAGAAGATCCATTTGTTTGAACCGATATACACCTTTATTAGTCAGAATCGGTTAGGAGAAGGAGAGGTAGATCACTCTTAAGTCAATTACACGACCAAAATATCCTATGTCTAGTGCACTTAGCAATTTCGGAAAAGTGATTGTTTCCCTTGATGACTAAATACTTAGCTATAAGGATTACCAAATAAATCATAATCGAAGTGGACTAACTCTGTCTCGTTAGATTGTATTTCTTCATATCAATTCCTGTGAAAATATCGGGATTTATTCTTCTTGGTTGTATACTCTGTCAAAATATTGCATTTTCGAACTATTTCAACATCAATTTATCTAAACTACTATTTAATGGATCAGGAACAATTAAACTTACAGGCTGAGGATTTCTATTAGGGAGGTCTTGGAATTACTTAGGTATTATTTGACGCTTGAAATTTTTTGGTTAGCTACTTGTTCATGGAAAACTCCATTTCCAATCAATGAAGATAATATGCGGTGGCATGGAAAAACTATACATCATCACTTATAAACATAGAAGGATATTAAGCATTGCTTCTCTATCTCACCAAATGTTAAAAGGTTGTAAGTAATAGCATAATTGATTAGATAGCAAGAAGACCAAGGACTGTAACCAATATGAAATGATGGTTAAAGGATCTGAACTGTTCAAACTTTTTCTGTGATCAATCTTTTTCATTAAAAAAAATATATATTAATCAAGGAAATATGTCTACAATTCATGAAGGGCAAGATATCTATACACTAAATTAATCATCAAGATGAAAATACTTCTTCCGAATTGAAAACAATTAAAGAAAAAGGAATACCCCTAAACTTCTTAAATGTATAGAACCATACCGATGCATCCCTCAACTCAAAACTCTCTTCCTTCAAAATTCTATGTCACAACACCTTTTCTTCTATACCAAACAAATTTGCATTGCAAGGAATAAACATTGCAAATTTTTAGGACATCTGGAGCTAAATATGCTCCCTGAAAATTTCTGAATTGAAGAATTGAATCTGCCACGCTTTTATTCTGATACAAAGATGTCATTATATAAAAAAGGGCTGAGTGATTTCTGCCCTTATTTCTAACAACCCAGCTAATTCTTAGGCTGTAATTAGTAGAGAAAATCAAGGTACATAATTCCTGATTTTACTCAATCAACTAATTAAGGAAAAAACAAAATACGGAAAGATTGAATCTAGGAAAACAGTAGCTGTACAACAGCTATATTACTAGTGGATTTTCAACACTCCCCCTCAAGCTGGCAAGTAGATGTTAGTCATACCCAGCTTGGTGTTTAAATCCTCAAAGTTGGACTTAGGCAAGGCCTTAGTCAGAATGTCAGCTATTTGGTGTTTTGTTGGCGTGTATTGCAGCAGAATTATCCCATCTTCTATCTTTTCTTTGATGAAATGGCGATCTTTCTCAACATGCTTAGTCCTGTCGTGATGAACAGGGTTCTTAGCTATGCTTATTGTAGCTTGATTGTTACAGTACATGTGTAATGGCTCTTCATCTTGAATTCTGAGTTCCTTCAGTAATCTTTTAAGCCACATTCCCCCGCAAATTTCATGTGCCATAGCTCTGAACTCGGCTTCTGCACTGCTCCTTGAAACTACAGTTTGTTTCTTACTTCTCCAAGTGACCAAATTTCCCCATACGAAGATGCAATACCCTGACGTGGATCTTCGATCAGTAATCGAGCTTGCCCAGTCTGCTTCAGCGAAGATTTCTAAGCTCCTCTTTGCGTTCTTCTTGAAGTACAGACCTTTGCCTGGAGTCATCTTGAGATACCTAAGAATTCTGTAGACTGCTGCCATATGCTCTTCCATAGGATTGTTCATGAATTGGCTCACAACGCAAACTGAGAAATCAATGTCAGGTTTAGTGTGTGAGAGATAGATAAGCTTTCCAACGAGTCGTTGATATCTCCCTTTGTCGACTGGTGTCATGTTCTTCCCATTTCCTAGTTTTATATTCAGATCCATGGGCGTATCTGCGGGCTTGCATCCGAGCATTTCTGTCTCTTTTAGGAGATCCAGAATGTACTTTCGCTGAGAGACTGATATGTCATCTTTTGTTCGAGATACTTCCATCCCCAGAACATATCTGAGTTTCCCTAGGTCTTTGATCTCAAACTCTTTCACAAGAAAGTTCTTCAGTCTATCCATTTCTTCAAAGAAATCCCTCGTGAGAACGATGTCATCTACATAGACAATGAGAATGGATGATTTTCCTTGAGTTGATCGTTTGATAAACAGGGTATGATCTGATTGACATTGCAAATAGCCAAATTTCTTCATTGTCCTAGAGAAACGATCAAACCAGGCGCGAGGAGATTGTTTTAACCCGTATAATGACTTCCTGAGCCTGCAGACTTTATTATTTGTAGCTTGATTTTCTAGCTCAGAAGGAATCTCCATGTACACTTCTTCTTCAAGGTCTCCATTAAAGAAGGCATTCTTGACATCAAGTTGAAATAATGGCCAATCTAAATTGGCTGCAGGGGATAGGAGCACTCTCATAGTGTTGAGTTTAGCAACTGGGGCAAACGTCTCCTAATAATCAATACCATAGGGACTCTGTGAATCCCTTTGCTACTAGTCGGGCTTTGAATCTTTCTACACTTCCATCAGCTTCATGTTTTACAGTGAATATCCATTTGCAGCCCACTGGTCGTTTTCCTCGTGGCAAGTCCACTATCTCCCATGTATTGTTCTTCTCTAAGGCCCGAACTTCTTCCATAATGGCAGCCTTCCAGTGTGGTATCTCCAGGGCTTCATGAATGTTGTTGGGAACTTGTATCTTGTTAAGACTGGAGACAAAAACACTATATTCTGGAGATAATCTTCTGTAAGATAAGTAGGTATAAATAGGATGATTTGTGCAAGATCTCACTCCTTTTCTTAAGGCAATGGGCCGACTATCAGGTGACTCATGAGGAGAAGAGTCTGAATGAGAGTTATCTTGTGATGTTTCACATGATCTTGGAGTTGGTTCAGACTCATGGAGTTGCTCAGGAAGTGCTCGTTGTGCCGTCTCCTTTTGGTGCCAATTTCCCTTGGAGTAAATACAAAGCTCACTATTTTTGGCAGAAGGGTCGGGAGGATTTTGAGGTAGAGTTTTGACAGGAGATTCAGGAGACTCGATGACAAGATTTGGAGATTCATCGACAATGGAAGGAACTTGAGATGGACTTTCGGCAGGAGAAGGTTGTTGGTTTTCAATGATATTCCAAAACTGATGTTCTTTTGATGTACTCTCCCTCTGAACATTGGTTTTGGTGTAATAGGGTTGTTCCGCAAAGAAAGTAACATCTATTGAGTTAAGAAAGTAACATCTATTGAGTTATAGAATCTTCTTGTGATAGGAGAGTAACATTTGTACCCTTTTTGACTTGGTGAGTATCCAAGGAAAATGCATTTGATTGCTTTGGGATCAAGTTTGCTCCTATTATGAGGATATACATGAACAAAGGCTTAACATCCAAATATTTTTGGAGGAATGGTGGTGATTATGCAACTTTCTGGATATGTTTTAAGAAGAACTTGACTTGGAGTTTGGAATTTTAGGACACGAGATGACATTCTATTGATAAAATAAGCTGCCGTAAGGACAGCTTCTCCCCAGAAGTGTTTTGGGACATGAGTAGTGAATATCAACGACCTAGCAACTTCAAGGAGGTGCCTATTCTTTCTTTCAGCAATCCCATTTTGTTCATGGGTATCAACACAAGAACTTTGGTGAATTATGCCCTGGCTATTCAAATAATCACTCAAAACAAATTTAAAATATTCTTTTGCATTATCTGTTTTGAAAACTTGGATTTGTGTTTTGAATTGATTTTGGACCATGGCATTGAAATTTTTGAAAATTTGCTCTACTTCAAATTTTTCTTTCATAAGAAATATCCGAGTAATTCTTGTGTGATCATCGACAAAAGATACAAACCATCGTGCCCCAGTGATATTTTTGATATTAGATGGTCCCCAGATATCACTATGAATCATTGAGAAAGGGTGTGTTACTTTATATGGACGACTAGGATAAGAATTACGAATATGTTTTGAAAACTGACACACTTCACACTGAAGATTCATTCCTCTTTTATTTCTGAATAATGAAGGAAACAGTTTTTCAAGATAAAAGAAATTAGGATGCCCTAGTCGATAGAGTAATAACATAATCTCACTATCCTTATTTGCTGAAAAACAACTTTTGTGAAACTGACTCAAAGAGACTGCCTTGTGAGCTTGTTCCTCCAAAGGATGGTCGCCCTTGAGAAGATAGAGTCCCGAGTACACCTCAGCACTGCCAATCATTTTCCCCGAATCCGAGTCCTGAAATGCACAAAAATTTTGGAAAAATTGAGCAACACAATTCTTATCCCGGGTAAGTTTACTGATTGAAAGTAGATTACAATTAAGGTTTGGTACAAGTAAGACAGAATGAAGTGACAGTCTCAGAAATTGTAACCGAACCATAGCCTTCTACTTTTGAAATAGACCCATCTGCAATCTTGACTAGGTGATTTTCTTTGCAAGGTTTAAACTCAATAAGTTGAGTCTTATCACCCGTCATGTGATCTGATGCTCCCGAGTCAATAATCCAAATATTGTTTCTTTCCCTGTAAACATTTAAGGCTTTTGAGAAATTACCTTTCTGAGCCAGGGATCCCGCAGCGACAGTGGAAGAGCTAATGGATTGGCTAATCATCTTCTGTAGAAGTTCAAGTTGCTCTTTGTTAAAGAGAACTGGTTCAGAAGTGCCATTTTCATTAGTTGAGGATGTGGCATTGCCGCGACTTTCATGAGATAAGCGTGAGGGCTTCCAATCGGCTGGTTTCCCATGGAGCTTCCAACATGCTTCTCTGGTATGCCCTGGTTTTCGGCAATGATCACACCAGGGCCTCCCCTTTTTTATCCTGCTATTTGGGTTACTTGGTTGAGGGCCGCGTATGGCTAGGGCTATTCCTTCCGTGGTGGGCTGATTGTTTGGAGTTCCCAACATCACCATTTTTCGGCTTTCTTCTCTTCTTACCTTCGAGAAGGCTTCTCTTAGACTTGTTTGAGGCTTTGTGCCCAAAATCCTTCCACGTACCTCATCCAAATCTTTGTTAAGTCCCATTAGAAACTTTAACACCCGTTTTTTCTCAATGATCCGCCTATACTGAATTCCATCATTTGGACTTTCCCAAGTGTGCTCTTCAAACATATCTAACTGCTGCCAATAACGAGTTAGATTATTCTAGGATTGGGTAACAGAAGATTCGCCTTGTCGGAGATCATGAAGGATCGTCTCCACACCAAACAATTCGGCCGTATTTTCATTACTAGAGTAAGTTTCTTTTGCAGCATCTCAAATCTCCTTGGCAGTACCATATAGAAGGAAATTTTCACCTATATCATTGATCATGGAATTGATCAACTAGGGCATAACCATGCCGTCCTCGGCTTTCCATGATCTATATTTGGGGTCTTTCTCTCCTGGTGAGGCCAAGAGACCCGTGAGATGATCATCCTTGCCTTTTCCTCGGACAAACATGAGAACGGATTGAGACCACTACAAGAAATTGTGCCCATTCAGCTTGTGACTTGTGATTGGAATAACACCGCTGTTATCTCCAATGTTTCCGGTCACTGGAATTTCCTGACTGGAGTTGGAGCTTTCTCGTTTGATTGTTATACCATATTTCATCATAGAGAATGATCACGAGATGACAGTGATGAAAGAAGGAAAAAAAGATGAATAGAGCGAGGAAAAAATTGAGAGAATAGGCTGGAGAGGGATGTTCAATTCAGAGAATATGGCTCTGATACCATGAAAATTCCTGAATTGAAGAATTGAATCTGCCATGCTTTTATTCTGATACAAAGATTTCATAATATACAAGAGGGCTGAGTGATTTCTGCCCTTATTTCTAGCAACTCAGCTAATTCTTAGGCTGTAATTAGCAAAGAAAATCAAGGTACATAATTCCTGATTTTACTCAATCAACTAATTAAGGAAAAAACAAAATACGGAAAGATTGAATCTAGAAAAACAGTAGCTGTACAACAGCTATATTACTAGTGGATTTTCAACATTTCCTATAATATTCAGCTCCCTAACCCCTTGCACTTCAATGTAAAACAAATTAGTAATGCTCCATAACCCCTTGCAACTTCAGTATAAAACAAATTATCAATACATTTTACATAATACCACCAGGTACAAGAGCATTGAAACTTGTCGACATAGAGAGAGATTATCAGGAATAAATTTTGATAATGAAAACCAAAAGAACAGGCATCAAAATATATGAAGATAGGCAATTGAAGGCTGAATTACTTTTTGCAGATACTAAAAAGGTGAGAGTTAGCTTAAATGCTAACCTATCATTCCGCCACCAGCCACATATCCATATGACTCATTTGGTCCTGCTGTTCCACTACCTAACTCGCAAGGAAGATCAGCACTTCCATATCTGGGACCGCCTTCACTCAGCTTCCCACTAAAAAATCCAGACCCCCCTCTTCCTCCATGTCCAGCACCAGCACCAGCTCCATTTGAGTAATTTCCCCTGCCAACACCATTCCTGCAACCTGAAAAGTATTCATTATTTTCTGAGAAAAATCCTGTGTAATTGTTTCCTAAATCTCAGAGTTCAGAATGTAAGAGAGGAATCAAAGTAACAAAAATGAAAGAGATATGTATACCTAATTCTGATGCAGTTATCATGCCATCAGAATCCACAATAACAGTCCTTGCCCTGTGGATGTGAACAATACTTCCCCTCATAACTCCATTCACCAAAATATCCTCAACACGACAGACCTATCAAACACATAAAAAGTCTCGTGATGAGTGTATAAAATACACCAACCAGAAGTCAAAGCATTACAACATGTAACAGATATTAAAAATGAAGGCAATAAAAATAAACACTCATTCATTTCCTTGGCCATTTTCATAAAGCTTAGAATTTTTGTTCGTAGACACATAAAAAATTGCACGCTGGTATCTTTAGAAATAGTAGGAACTTTAAATGCTTCCAACTGACTCCAATTGAACCAACATGTGATAATTAAGACAACTAGCACAAGACAGATTAAATCCTCTCAAAAATTGCACTCCATCTGATAACGTCAGCTTAATGACAGAGGTTCTCAATCATCACGATTGTTGTTTAGGACCTTTAAGCGTCGTAGACTGCTTGTCACATAGCTAGGAAGATAGAAATTTTTGATCTATTATTCGATAAGTTGATCCATATATACTGCGCATAGACCACCAAAGAAATTAAACTCCACTTGGCAAGTTATTCTGTATACAGCAGACGATCTTAATTTAACAATCCATAAGGGTACACATGCGAAGATGTAAATCTGAGTTTATAGAGCACCAGATAAAATTGCTTTACTAACCTGCAGTGAAAAGGACAGTGTGTAATTAACATGGCAATCATCTGGTGGAGTTATCAATTCCACCGGGCATGTTGAACTCTCACAAAGAGATTTAGTTATCCTATTCAAGATAATGAAAAGGTGGATTGAATTTGCAATATTGAAAAAATAATCAAATGAATAGAAATTAAGCAGATAAATACTGAACAATTTTCTTACGAGCTTCTACTCTCTTCATCATCCAAGGGAGCTTGAAGTAAAGATCCTGGACCCACCTAACACATGAAAAGTTTTCCGAAGAACTAGTTGAATGACTGATAATAAAGAGATCTCAGAAGAATCTTGTGTGTAATCGATATAGCAAATGTAATGGATTAAATGAAGAAGAGTACTTTTTAACCAATATCTTACGGTAATGTTATAAAATAGTGACAAAGAAAGTCTCTGGCCTTTAATTGCATCACCCTGACCGGTCAGCTGTAGAAGTCCTTGTCCATATAGAGCCAGGTTTCCATTTGAACTGATGACAGAGTGGTCCTGCCAGAAAAAAGAGGAGTGTTGAGATTAGAGCCTTATAATCCACAAGCACCTGAAACAGAGAAAGTTTCAGTTGCATAAAACGGTCGTTTGATTATTACCTTAAGAACAACAAGATTCCTGACTTCAAGAACAGAGGTAGCAACAACAGTGTTTCCACCACCATCAACTTGGATTTGGGAGTTTAACATGAGTAACATTTTGACAGCTACTCTAAATGCACCATAAACCTTCATCATCGCAAAAGACTATTTGAGACTATGAATGGAGTGTGGACATAGTTGCTAAATGCTACAGATGATATATGGTGATATTCAATCATATGGTCAATAGAGGGCAATGAGAAAAGGTCGTTTAAACGCATAATTCCAACACAGTGCGAGATAAGTGACAGTAGTAGCAATTTTGTTATGGAAGGTCATGAAAAAGATTGGAGGTGTTAGCACCATCTCTTTTCCAAATTATACCTGAACACCCTTTGGTTAACAAAAAAATGTAAATAGACCAAAACATACAAGTTAACATAAGTTTATGTTCCAACCATGAATATTTTCACTAAAATGCCTCTCCAATTAGATATGCCATGCCGCATCCTCATTTACAATAACAATATTATGGAAAATGTGCTTGTCCATAAACTTAAATAAATTTTTCCAGTGAGATATCTATGGTATATGATTTGTCAAATAATACTCTTAGAACTCGAGCAGTAATGAATATCAGATTCATACAAAGAATATAAGAAAAGATAATTTTTTTAAAACAGCACCTCGAATGATATAGAAATTCAAGTGAGTTAAAATATTTTTATTCTTCTAGGCAATTACAAGAATATGCTGTCACAAAAAGAATGCGGTAAGAGGAAAACTAGCCCAAAATATGTAATGTAAGTATAAAAAATTGGGGATAATTGCAACAGAAGTCCCAAACCTTTGTAACACTAGCAAACTTTCTCCAAACCTTTCATTTGGTACAGCCGTCACCCTTAACATTTCCAAACGTTGCAAGTGAGGTCCTTTTGGAAGGTTTCTATCTAAAATACCGTTAGTTGACCGTCAAAACAAATTTTACCACCTTAATTTTAAAAGATAAAATGATATTTTTTCTATTTACCACATTAAACAATTAAAAAACTAAAATAAAAAACCCAAAAAAAAAAAAAGGTTCTTCTTCTTCTCTCCCCGCACCCCACTCCCACCCACCCAGGGCCACAGAAGATTTCATCTTCAGAGATGCAACAACAGTGTTTCAAAATTGTGACATCTTTTTAAGAAGAAGATCCATTTTTCTTTTCCTTTTTTTTTTTTTTGGTTTTTTATTTAAGTTTTTTAATTGTTTAATGTGGTAAATAGAAAGTTACCATTTTACTCTTTTAAAATTCATTAAAAGGTGGTCAAAGTTTGTTTTGACGACCAACTGACAGCATTTTAGACAGAAATCATCCAAAAGGGTCTCACATGTAACGTTTGGAAAGGATGAAAGGTTTGAGAAAAAATCTGCTAGTATTATAAAGGTTTGGGGCTTCTGCTGCAATTATCCCAAAAAATTATTACATCAAACCTATAAAAGGTAACTCGTTGTCATCATAAATTGGACCTTGAGCCGAACTAAGCACTATATGAGATATACAACACTAAAAACAGTTATTTTCATTCAAAATTAGAGCTTAAATGCCTAAAATGAACAGAAACGGTGATATGTGGACTTTGGATTTCAAATAATTAGTTTATTTGACATTGAGGAACTAAATCTCCATCTCTAATTATGAACAATTTTGTCGACATCTCAGAACTGTAACAGGCATGAAAGAATTCAATGATATTATAACGCCCATTGGCATTGGCAATTTCTTTATCTAAGATGCCAAAGACTTTATTCTTTTTCTTTTATTTTTGGGGAGAAAGGATTTGTCTCCTCATGTACATAATATCAAACATCTCTTTTGAGTGGATACTGTAAAGAGAGAAGGGTTAATGGAGTTTTGGCCCAGTGATATTCTATTCTTTATCGGTGATATTCTATTATTTATCGGTAAACCAAGAATTGCTAAGGCTAGATACAGGAGCAGCATTTTCAACTTAGTTTATCATATCAATCTTCTATTCCTTATTTCAAGTGAATTTGTCACTTTCTGATTGATGGTGCAATTTATTTATTTATATGCATGACAGATATTTGTTTATAAGATCTTTCAGATTCCAACGTCATAAATTATTGTGCTTGAACAATGCTATAGGTACAGAAAGTTTTCCAGATTTTTTTGAGAAATAGCACCAGGCGCAATTTCATTGGGAGATGAAAAAAGGGCCATACAGGTGCTGTGTTGAAACCATGTCGATAATTCCCTGTACGCAGGAACTTATTGATTTTTCTTAGATAGAACTTAAAAAAACTTGAAAGAAAAATGTTGAAATCCTAGAGATATGATATTATCTTTGTTGCCTTAATTAACTATTGTATTTATGGAAATTGTAATTATTGTAATTAGGGATGATTCTTGGAGATTAGGTAGGACTTGAGAATACCCCCCCCCCCCCCCCCCCCCCCCCCCCCCCCTCCTTTCTCC